AAGGCACAGTGATCGATAGTTTCGACAAAATAACATTTTGTAATACTTATATTCTTTTTGAAATACACTGTATACAGATGTGCGTTATATACCAGATGTAAAAATGATAGACTTAAAAATATGGAAAAGATGAGCATCCACAAATTAGACTTCTACGCGTACCTAAATGCTGTTTATTTAAAAGAAATGAAGCCTTATAAACTTAAAAGTTTTCATTATCAGATAATATGAAAAGTTTATCATATTCGTTTTCAATAATGTCTTCAGGCACATCATCGAAATTTGCTTCATCTTCACCCCCACTGTTATTCTGATCCATAAATAAACAATCATCTTCCATTTCATCGAGATTGTTAGATATACTAATTTTTTAAAATAACTTAAATTATGTTTAGTTTCATTATGTGCTTTTACTATACACTCATACGCTATTTCTAGATTAGCATGATGCATTTGGCCTCTTTTCGTAAATCACCTTTTAACATCCATGTATTCACTATCCTTTAGAATTTTCTTCGAAAGCTTTATTGATAAACACATCTAAAGACTGAACTAATGGTGTTAATCTGCCTGGAATAATTGTCATATCTTTATTTTCTCTTTAAACAATTTCTTCATATTCCATTAGATGGGATCAGATCATGTCCCAAACTAAAAAGACTTTCTGAATTCTTTATGGCAACAGTATGATTTTGTCAAACATTTCTTATCCACAATATCACACTGTTATCATCCATCCATCCATCCATCCTTTCTCATGAACATTCATTAAAACACAATTTGGGAAATTTAATTTCAGCATCATTTTCTTTTCGAAAGTAATTTTATACTGACTGCTAAGCAGGAAAGCACTACGTGAGGTGAGATTTTTTTTTTTTTTTTTTTTGTGATCTGTTGTTTTTATGTGAACCATTTTTATTACTCTGCCATCAAATTTTGTATTTGCTATCATATCAAACATTGCTGAGTTTCATCCATTATTTCTAATCAGTGACAGTAAACAAATTTTGCCCTCATTTGCAAAACTTTTGCTTTCACTCATAGAACTAAATTTATTCAGTGCCATAAATTGACTACACTAACTCAAAGTTACTTTGTAAAATCTAACTCTTTTAGGTATCATGCAAGGATACAATCTCAGTAAGAAGCCAGGCAATTTTTAACACAGACATAAAGAAATAGTACATGGGGAAAGGGTTTAAATTGCCTTTTATTTGATTAAACTCTTTAACAAAAATGCATGGACTTCATGCTCACAATAACACCAACTGCTTGGCGTTGGGAACTAAAGAATAATTTATCAATAAATGGCAAAGAGTAGTGCTGGACTACTTAAGACTAACAGGCTGGACTTGGCAACCTATACTGGTGACAGACTTTAACAAATGGCTAGAAGGTCTAGCAGCAATAAGATGAACAGCAGGAAGGACAGAACAGCAACGTCCGCTATGCTAGCAAAATCATGTTCTGACTTTCTCTTTCCGTTCATTAAAATACTCTTCTTCTCTTTAATTTGCATCCTGGTGAGGAAATGTAAGGAGAAACGAAAAGATAACAAAATTTAGAGTACATGGTTATTCAAACTAAGGGAAAACCTATAACTTAAAAGTTTTTACTTTCATTTGCCTTCCCCCCACACTTTAAAGCAAATAAACATAGGTTGTTTCTTGTTACAATTAATCCATTCTTTCATCCATTTTCTAGGATCCAGTTTTTAACACTTTCTTCTAAGATAATCCATTTTGTTACTTCTTTCTGGAAAGCACATTTATTCTTTGACATATTGTGATTTTATTTTTCTTCCGATCAAGTATCAAGCTTTCACCAATACCAAACAGCCTCGCTGCAGCACGATATCCATTTTCTTTCGCAAATTGAATGACTCTACGTTTGAAACCAGCATTGTGTATGTTTCTTTTGGCCATAGCCATATTTACTACTAAAGGGAACATTAGACCAACTGTATTTCAAATAAAGCAAATGTGATTTGCTAAAGCCTTTAGTGTTTACTTCAAAATCATGGGTTCCAATGACCGCAGAAGGAGAAAACATCTGACTCCTAGTTCCGCGAATTCATTTGGGTTGGAGGTGCATTTTTTGCCCTAAATTATTCCCACTCTTCTCGAAACCATAGAATAAAATTTTCTGTGCACACCTGCATTGAATACAGCCTGCTTTTTTCGCAGAATTATTTACTTCCAGAAGCATTTTCCCTGCATACATATTATTCCCCTGATCCATTGTGAAATCAGTATACCATTGCTGGAAAGTCTGGGAAAAATCTTCGAATGAATCATTTCAAAAGATAACAGCATTGAATGTGTATCTTTCAGGTTTCTTCATAAAAAAAAATCTGATGTGTACACCACATGACTTCCTTGTACGGAATATTAAATTATACGCATTTTTTCTTGCATTTCATTTAAACTTATTAGATTGAATTAAACCTACTTCGCCGACAGCGCATAAACCACAATAAATAAATGCATTCTTTAAAATTCACTTTGTTTACCATAGCGACACGCTCTGGCGCTAGGTTTACTTAACAGTTATTATATTTGTTCATATTATAACTCAGAATGCACAAAATTTATATCATTTAAAGAATTATCTAATCGTTGCCACATGTTCTATTCAAATACTATAACAAAGCTAGAAACGATATATAAAGAAATTAAGCAAACAAAACAAAAAAAAGAAACAGTTTTTCACAGACATTGAGTATTCTCATTCAATAATTCAGTTCTCACTTCGCGACAAGGCAAAAATACATAAAAACTCAAAATATCTGTATTAAAATTACAAAGTAAATCTAATGCTTATTTCCTCGAAAAATTCCAGAAAGGATAAGCAAATTTAATATAAATGAAGACGTTATCTTTGTGTTGTGGGTGAAGCTAATTTCTCTAGATTGGCAAGCAAATCCGCTATCCTGCTGTTTTCAAATGTAAACAAGAGCAAGTGCCCCGCCAGCAAAACATTGAGGCTTAGCGATACTTAACAATTTTAAAATTGTTGATAATTAAAAATGCATACAGATTTTACTAAAGGCCATAAAAACCTTAACCGGAAGATAAAGAACAACATAATTCAATCATTTTTAAGCAAAAATGTACAATTACAAACAATAAGAGAAAGAAAACTGAGATCACTGAGGCCGGATATAACAGAGTGGATATATATATATATATATAAATGTTTACACGTTTGGTGCGGCGATTGCAACCAAAATACGAGGTGGCACATCTACATGTTATAGCAGTCCTATAACAAAATTTCAACGTTCTGAGGCTACTCGTTTTGAGTTATGCGAGATACGTACGTACGCACGTACATACACATGTTCGTACAGACGCCACGAAAAATTCTCTTCAGAATTCATTTTAAAGCAGTTTTATAATTTTTTTGGAGGAAAAGAGTGTTTTATTTTTTTCTTACATACAGATATCACGGAAATACATCGTTAAATTGCATTTGAAAGAAGTCAAAATGGGATATTTTCGTTGAAATATGCTGCCTGAAACTTTTCGCGATTACAATACTTCCTTTTTACTTTGTACAAGGAAGTAAAAAAAGGGTGCACATTACATGGCAAATATACCTAAAAATTAAAAATTGTAGTTTAACTTTACAGGTGCACCTTATACACCATTGCACATTATATGCCAGAATATATGATAAGTTAGACAATTGAATATGTGTTTTTAACAAATATTTACCATTTAATTTCTAGAAAAACCTTTCTACAAAACATAAGCTATAGCTTGAAGTGAGAAGTCTCTGCACAGTGTTATGTGGAGAGTTTTGTTTACATCTATGTACACTAAATTTGTTTATCTCAGATAATCTAGAAATAATATCATAAGGCATAATTTCCACTTTCAGATAATTCCTCTGCCATTTTGACTTTTTTCACATACTCTACACTTCTTTTGTGGATTTGTTTAAGTTTTTGCGAGTAAAATGATCCTAGGAAAAAAGTCTCTATTGCTCTGCTTGTATTACTTGCTTACAATGTAAGCAAAGAGTTACTAGCACACATCCTTCATACACTCTACTAGGAATAAATCTGTTTCTGCTATACCTAACCAAAGAAATACAAATCTGTTTATGCTTTTGCCCTAATCTTTTTCTTACAACATAAAACATTACCATTATAAAATGTTTAATCCATTAAACAGAAAAGTATTTTTATAACTCAACACAAATTTTCTCATCAATGAAAAGGAATATAAGTAATCATTCGGTAAATCTACTCCACCCATGCATCATTATAATCTAAAATGATATCAATTTTCTAATGCGACTATTTTTCTCCCACAGCCTCCCCCTCCCAATTCATTTCAATTTTCTTGTGCTTTACGGTTTGCAAACAGTAAATATATACATATATATATATTTTATTTTTTCACTTTGCATTAAAATAGTACTACATGAACCTGAAATGATTTCAAATCATTTCAGTTTTTTCCTACAGATTCTTTCAGTATATTCTTTTCCACCAGGCATAATTTCTACTACGGCATTAGTTTTTTATAGATTGTAACTTTTGATACATTTTTGACACAATATCCTAATTTAAATTTCCATAGCTTAAAAAAATTGCGTGCTCATTTAACGGACTGAATTGCTTATATAATATGTTGCATACTATGTCAGAGATCAGTTTATGATACTTAAGTCTCAGAAGTTTAAATGCTCTAGAATCTTCCATTTATTCAGCCAATTACATTTTGTAATTTACAGAAACAATTATTTTTAATGCACTTCACAGCTGATGAAGTACAAAATGGAAGTCAGTTGTGCAAATCACTGAAATGACAATGTTTTCTGAAATTTAAGAGTAAGAATATCAGCATCTACAATACTCTTTTGCAATTTTGGCACTAAAGTATTTCAAAATCTGAGGTCCTTCAGCAGAAGTTATTAATAAATGCAAAAAGAACTTTTTTGGGTGAAGCATTAAAAATTTACAAAGCTATGTAATAGAATCATCTTACCAAAAGTTTTAAGACCAGTTATAACTGTTACAAATTTCTTTTTGCCACGAGGTGCTCTAGATAAACAAATTTTTTTTTCCTTTTCTGCCTTTTTCTTTGCTTTTAGCATTCCTTTTCCTCCTCTCTTTTGCCTCTTTTTTTCTTCTTCTCCTAGAGCAGGTTCAGCATCTAATAAATTCCATAAGAGTATAATAAACTGAGAGCTGTTTTCTAGACATATAAATACATTTATTAAAAAATTACAGTTATCGTCAAAGAAATTTAGTAATACATATTTTCAATATAAATTAAAAGCAAAGTTTAGAAACTTATTCTATTTTTTTAAATGTGGATTTGTGGTAAGTTTTGTTTCAACTATGCATACAATATTCATGCATTTAAAATTGCTATGTATTGAGTTTTTCATATTAATTACAATTAAGATGCTTCTTTATTATTCTTCATTATTTACTGTTCATCTCTTATTTATCTTTTTTGCTATTCTCTGCCTAGTTCTCTTTTGTTATTTAAGCTGTTTTGTTAATGAAGTGCCAAAGTGGCAACCATATTCAGAGCCCTTCTATGTTCGAATGGACTCCAATTTATCATGATTTGGTCACATTTGGTGATAGTTTGTGAAGAGTTTTTAGTAGGACTGCCTTTTTCACACAGTCCATTAAAAAGGAGGCTCTTGGCACTATTTAAATTCTGACAGTCATACTAATAAAAAGTACACAAATTTGCTATTAGCAATTGAAATGTTATATACATATGTATGATGATTTTGAATGTTGCTAAAGATGATAGTTACATAAAGATGTAGTTGCAGTCATGGCTGAATTTAATATTTCTTCAATCTCATTCACACATTTTATAGCTAACACAGATAAAGTGATACAGTAAATGCCTGTGCTTGAAGAATTACATCGGTATTGTACAGAATTTTTTAAATACATTTGAAGCAGCAGGTGTTAGCAAATTGGCAGTTGAAAAACAAGAGAGAGGGAGAGAGAATGCAGCATATCTAAGATGAAAGTTGGGTTCGGAGTGATTTGTATTTCAGTTCACAATTTCTTCAATGGCTGTGAAAATAAAGTTTTGGTTCCGGAACTGAGATCATTATTGTTACATACCTTTGTAATTAGAATTATGCAAGAAAAATATCACATGAATTAATTTTGAAACACTGCAGTTTAGAGAGCTGCAATTTCTGTTTTTAGAACAGAAAAGGAAAATAACCAAATTAAATTAAAGAGTTAAAGGACTACTGCAAATTAACATTATAATTTAACACAATTTTTATATTGTGCATGCAAACATGCACGAATACCCACGCAAACCGTATTTACTTGCGTATTTCTTCAATTAGTTATTTCAGCACGATTTACACACATCTGATGTACGATAACAATGCAAAATGCATGCACAAAGAGGAAAGTATGTTTTGTAAGTAAAAAGAATATTACTGAAACTAGTAAGCTCTTTTCAAATACATAAAATAATATTAGAGTGTCTTTACATGCATTTTTTAATTTATGTTATCCTTCAGAAATGTTTATAATGTTTATAATTTATGTTATATGTTTATAATTTAAGTTATCCTTCAGAAATAGTATACCATGCATACTTTCCCTCCTGGTTTTCAAGCAACAAAATTAATAGGAAAAATATGCAGCATATATATATATAAAGAGAGAGAGGCTTAACTGCTTTCCTAGATATTCTGAGTTAACTTGGTCGCTGAATATTTGTCGAAAATAATTATCATGAGTTAACTTATAATTCATGTTTCATAACACACTTTTTCATTTATTCCGAATACACTCTTCGGCACTGCTGCTGACCGTCATAGTGTTATGAGAATATACGAGATTTATGCAACACCTTTTTCAATTTAGCACCACCCATTCACTCAGGTGTAAAGCTATTTTTATCTCTGTTCAGCACATTAGGTTAGAAATTTAGCTTGTTTTGCAATTTGATCAGAAATACATGGATCACTTATACTTCGTCTCAAAAAACATTCTATTTTTGTCCAGATTGTAACATGCCTTTACGTGTAATGCTATGTTTTAAGGTCTACCACATTGCTTCTAATTTGAACTAAACTTTTCGTGTATTTTTCATATTTTATTTCTTTTCAATAATTTCTTTCGCATTTTCTCTAGACAGATAAACACTCAATTTACCATTATTAAAATTCAAAATTATTTTGAAATTAATTTTTTGTGCTTAAAAAAAAACTAATGAATTAACGAGATAATTAATTACCATTTATTTCACATGATAAAAATATTTAAAAATATAAAAATTTTGGAAAAATATTTATAGAATTTGGTTAATAAAAAATAACAATTTTTGCATGACGACTGAAAAATAAAGGGTTAATTGAGGGGTTAAATTGAAACTGAAGAAAATTATATAAGCAGCAGTACAGAAAAAAAAAACGTTAATTTACATCAAGGAGATATAGTTAACCAGTAAACTAACAGTTATTTACAGTTTGATAAACAATTTCGACTATGAAAAGGATTTTTCATCTCTTATTTATTGTTTTACTTTTTCATTGTTCAATTCATCAGATATCCTTGTAAGGTATTTTCTCCCTCCTTTCATGGTATAATTGAAATCATGTTTGATGTGTATTTGAGAGGTCTGAATTCGAGGGCATTTCCTATTTTTCACAATCCTGCATCGATATAACCCAATGACTCTACATCCTCATTTGGTTCACATATTGCTTGTTATTTTACTGTTGACTTTATAAATGTGTTTCTAGAAACACAAATATTCTCAAGTAGTTTAACTATATTATTCATATTTACATCATTTTGATCTAAATTTATATAATTACACACTTTTTACTGTTTTTATTTTTACTGTTTTTATTTTTGTATTTACATACTTTTTTGAATTGTTTAACTGGCTATGGGAAACAGAAACTCATATTTTTTAATACCTACTTAAGCAAATTTCATGGTAAAATAAAGAGAAATAATGAACTAAAAAAAAAAGAGAGAGAGAGAGAGAAGCAAGAATCAACAACAAGAAAACATTTGTTTCACTACCATGAAATCTTTTCTGAAATTTTTAATACAGCTGTCAAAGGCTTTTAAACTGGAGCAACTTTATATTTCAGATCTGAAACTATAGGTAAGAAATGCGAGCACTGAAGGGACAGAGCTTTAATGGAATGACATTATAAGAAGGATGGTCTAGGATGAAAATCTGACTATACTAGGCTAATTTGGAAAGCAGGAATGTAAACTATAAACCAAGAATGCAAAACATATTACTGTGCTAAGAAGAGATATAAAGATAAAAAAAATGACCACAAAATATATATTTATTCAATTTTTTATTTTTATAAATAAATACCATTTACAAACTTCTTTTATTGTTACCTGTTTGTTCTTAAAACACACAATCTCAAAAACACATACACCACACACACACAAAAAAAAAAAAAAAAAAAAAAAAGCCCCTAAAAAAAAATAACACATAAATAAATTTAAAAGTGAATAAAACGTAATATAATATTCTTTTAAATATATAAAATGAATTAATTAAAAAAAAAAGTAAATTCGGAAAACTGTAAGATGCATTTAAAATAGCATATCTTTTCTCTCAAATAACAAAAAATTACTTTTTAAAAGTTGACTTACCTAATTTCATTTTTCTCTCAAACTCATCAGGTAAATTTTTCTGTAGCCATTCTTTACATTTTTCATAGTTAGGATAGAATTCACAATACTGTTCAAAAATAATTTATAAATTATATTTAACTGCCAAAAAAAAAATTATGTTTTAACTCCTACCAAAAAAGTAACATGATTTCAATTATCGGAGTGCCAAACTGGCATGAATTCTATAGACAGCGGCAACCCCTAAAATATTTAAAAGCTTCGTAGGGGAAGAAATGAACTTGTAATAACAGTAATGTATCATATATAATACAATATATATAATATTTAACATGTGCAATGCCCAAGTTGTACAATTCTCTGCTGTTTTTGTGTTTGGGGGGGGGGAAATCAGATAATTGCATACATTTGGTAAAGGATTATTCTGAATTTTCTCATTGGTACTATATTTAAAAAATCATTTTTGATATTTGGAAAAGAATCTCTCTTAAATCACGTGAAACATTTCTACACAGAAAACTTTGATAATATAAAAATTCCTTTTCATTTTAATATATGAAATCACATTTCTCCCTCTTCCATTAGTAAACATCTCTCTCATTATTAGATATGTTTGAAAGAAATCATCAGTATCATTGTACTCATTTTCTTATAAGAAAACATATTTAAGGGCTTAGAAATTAGCAAAAATATTTTGCTTGTTTCACATTAATAGTAATTCTAAACATGTGGGCTTGTTTTCTAATGGACTTTCAAAATCCACTGAATTTTGTAAATATTCTTAATGCCAAATAAATATATAATTTTGGAAATTATTAATCTTTGCTGCAGTTACATTTATAAGAAGGAATATGCTTATTGAAAGACTTATAAAAGAAATTACATGAATAAGAAACATTTTGATTTAAACTGTTTGGGAAGGAAATGTGTATTAAAAATATTGCAATAAAAATTATACACATTTTAAATTTAAAAATATTGGAATAAAAATAAAAATTATAATTATTTTAAATAAAAATACACAAAAAGGAAAATTTTAATAAGAGTGCTGTGATGGAAAGTCAATAAAAAGGTTACAAACTATTGAGGTATAACAAGAAAGACCAATGAGTAGTTTCAAAATGTAACTACAAGTAAAATATGTACTGATTCAGTGCAAAATGGTACCTGTACAGGGGGCATTTCAGGACTGAAAAAAATTACTACTATGCTAGAACAATGTATATTACAAGAGCAGTAAGATGTGACATATAATTGATTCATTCTTAATGTTGAAAAGCAAGTGTGACTACTGCATTACATTATGTGCAATGTTGCACTTTTGAGCAGTATTGCATTAATTAGCCAAAAAAGTCCATCACATTGTAGTATTTGTGATAATATTGGCTTCGCCTCATGCGGCTAAGTCAAACTAGGAATACCACAGAACAGGTAGCATCTTCTTCAACAACTCATGTTGTTTTTACTTGTTTGATCCATTCCAAACTCAAAATATTTTGTGAACGATGCAAACATAGAACCAGAAGTCTCTAGGTGACCAAGGAAGTGATCTAAAGACTTAATGGTATAGATAATAGAGCACTCGTACATCAAATTTTAATGTAGTTGGAGATTATACAGAAAAACAAAACTGTTTATAGCATAAGTGTTATGTTTTTTAAATTTATAAAGAATTTTCGTATTTTATTTTCTTTCTTTATTTATAAGCACGAATAATATTTTTTATTACTAAATTACATACAATACAATATATATATATATATATATATTCTGCATTGGGAATGCTGCATAATAGCATCAACACTGCATAGAAGCTATAGCTTCTCTGTTGGCACAGGTTTGAAAAGGCAGTTCAGATTATTTCTATGCCAGTATCAGTTCTATGTAGGTTCCATGCAGGTTCTCTAGAAAAATAATAATTTAATCCAATTCTTTCCCTCTGCGCTATTAATAATTATAACCCTTGGGTACATTATGCCAGTGTTGGTGTTCCATGTCATTCTCGTTTATACATTACACAAATGCTACACAGGTGTCGCTGTCGATCATATGCTTGTAATAGCTCTGTAATGGTGACAAATTTGCATCAATCATCTTACTCATTATTAAATTATTATTTAAATTGCTTTTCTATAGTGTCGATTATGCTCCATTGTTAAGGGTAAAGCATCCATCAATTCAGAAACAATGCACCACAGGTTTTTGCCAACTATGAGGATGTCTCTATCTGTAATGGATGGGCAGCTACTGCAGTCTGCATCCAGATTAAAGTTTTCACCCTGCAATCTCCTAAGCTAAATGAAAACTATCTAAACATTTGTAGCATCATCCCCATAATTAATGCAAATTTCATTTGCAGTATAATTAGCAATGTTGCTATTTTTTTAACAATGCAATATTATATCTCACAAATGGTACACTAATTGTCCATGTTTAAAGGCATGTAAAAGAACTACTTTAACCCCTTTGAGCCAGGACAAGCGCCTAGACATTGGGTTCTCATCTATCCCAGAGCTCCCCACTCTCTGCTCGCCAGACGTCACTTCCGTTTGAGAAGATGTAAATAAGGTGGGAGGGGGGGGGTTGAACCAAAGCTAACGTGGTTGTCGTCTTTCTCAGAGCGGTATTATTCCATGCAGCTCTTAAATATCGTGTGCCCTCAAAATATACATTTTTAAATGGTTAATGAAGCAGTGTTTTTTACTTCTGTTGTTATAATGTTACCTATAATATTAAGCAGATAAGTTTTTATGAGTAACATTATAATGAAATAATATATTTCGAATGATATATATATATTTTTTTTTAATATTTACCTTTCGGAAGATGTTAGGTGTTACATCCAAAAAATGATTTCAGTTAAATAAAGATTATTATCATTTTATTGGCTCTGTGAGATGACTGAGAAGTTTTATGCACTCCCAAAGTCACCAAAATTAACAAACTGGTGTGGTGTAATCTAAATTCAAATGACTTCAAACTGCATAAAAATAACAAAATGTATAATTTTTCTGTTTTATTTATAATGATGTTCTAAGGAATTTAAATGCTATTTAAAATCTGTGGTATTGTTAAGTATGTTATGAATAAGGACAGGCAGTTGTGTCAAACTAAAATGCTGAAAGCGGTAGGTAAATAGATAAAGAAAAATGTCTTTAAAATATAGTTGGCTCAGGGAAAAATGAATATGTTAACTGTGTTAAGTTGTGAAATTCATTAACGCACTTCATGTACTATAACTAGCACTGATAAAGATAAAAGTTTTCTTAATATCGATAAACAAAGTACATAAAAACATATTCCTACATATCATTAAAATATTAGTATTTTTCCATGAATTCCAGAGAAAATATGCTAATGAATAATAAATACCATGGTCAAGAATTACCTAAACAAACAGGAAAAAAAAAAAAAAAAAAAAGATTCCCTACCTTGATACATAAGAAAGGAATATTGCACCATGTAACACATTGTTCACTTGTGTCAATATCACAGGCATTTTCTTCAGATTCTCCATTGACAAGTTGTATCTGTTAAAATGCCCCTGAGGCAGGAAAACAATCATCTGCTGATGGGACAGGTGCATATTTAAAACATAGAGATTCACAGGATTCGTAACGATATCAAACATGTTTTCACAATGCTTGAACCTACACCTTTTTCAACGTAAATATTGAGACACATTTTTTCATCACATCAAATTCATACAAAGAGGACTACTAAATTTAGATTCTGTTTCTCCAGGAAAGCTTGTATTTTGAGAGAAATATGAAGCTATAAATGTGAGACTCTTATTTAGAGATGCCTTTTTGAAATAAACGCCTAAGCATTTTAATTGAAGAACATAAAAAATATTGACAGCATCTGTGGTTTTGACAAAATACTAGTCATTAGGGCCAACCTTACTGTATTTTCTGCCCACGAAAACATACAGAAAGTAAAAATCTGTTAATCATCCTTCACTGAAACCAGAAATAAACTGAATAAAGATAGAACATTTCACAAAGAAATCTATAAAAAAACTTCAGTATTTGGCATTCTGTGCAATCCCCACCCTACCTCCACCTCTTAAAAACGCTACTACTCACCAAAATAGCAAGCTCACGCTACCATATTCCTCACTTTTTCAAAACTGGATTTAAAGACAACAATATATCAATTGCAATCTCTCTAAAGACTTTCGTTCTAGCAGGTAATTCTAAAAACATCATTTTTACATTAGAAATAAGTTTGCAATTGTCTGTGAACAATTTATGAAACTTTTCGGCAAGGTATACAGGGTGTGCATTTTAGATACAGTATTTTGAGAAACAACCCTGTAAATGCCTCACCTCTTTTTATACATCTGCATCATTCAGGAAAAGAATGGCATAGTCATGTTTACTTCTATTAAGACGAAATAAATTCTATTGATGAAACTTGAGATATACCGAAACTGTTAGTTTCTTTCTACATCTGCTATCAGGAGGAATATATCTGTTATTTTAGGATGTAAGGTTTTAGTTGCAATGTTACATATGAATTTTACCACAGCATTCATTCATGAAAATTGCTGTCCAAAATCACACTTTGGATATCCTAAACTGCACCAATGTAAGCAGTATGTCAATATGTTCTTCTTAAAATAGATTTATAGGGAATTTATCACTTTCAAAATATCTTTTTGCAGATGGACTTTTAACTTTCCAAAATGTCATTCAATTCAAATCATTCATGAACTACTTATGACATGACATGCAGCTGTAAACCCTAGTAAATGTTTTTGTTGTTTCATTGGCATTACACTTCCTCTTAATTGTATGTTTTTGCTATGCTACAAAATAAAATTTTTGAGCACTAAGTGGTTTTTCTGGTGCTTATGTATCAATAAAAGTGTCCATTCCAAATTCTTTTGAAAAATTGTTCATTTTCCCTATCATTAAAAGCTCTTTCTTAAGCTTGGCAGTATAGCACATAAGGCAAAGCAAAGAAACAAATGAAACTGAGAGAAGAAATTTTGACAGAACCTAGTCATCACTCTGGCATTCATGCTGCTAAGTTCGTCAACAATAACCTTCCTGAAAAGGAGCATTTCATCCATTTATTTTTTTCGGTAATTTCTAATTATCACACCCCACCACCACCAAAAATTATAAATTTGTTGCCA